CGAGGCCTTATTCGTATGTATAGTGTAACTAACTTGAAATTAATAAATAATTTAACGATACACACGTTCATCATAAGTACAAGAGTAATTTAATTTGAATAGTGCGTGTTTAACATGTGCCTCAAACACACATTTACCCCCCACTAACCCCCACTATTACATACAATGTACGAACACGAAAACTACAACCGCTAACGTACTTACTAAATGTACCGCACCTGTTAAACGTTCACGTTCCAATTTTGAAACACTCCGGGTGCGACCGCAACGCGTTCTGAATTTAAACGAGCCAATGGGGAAGCGTTAACTGGTACGGCTTTTCGCGGAAATTGTCGATTGAGGTCCGAGGTTAAGGTGGGTTGGCGAATATACTCAAATAACGAACACTGATACGGCTTTGATTTGATCCAATGTTAGATTTATGTAAATTTGAATGATTCTATGTTTAACTTACGCCTGTTGGTCTAGTGGTTAGTGGCCCTGACTGCTAAGCCAGACGTCGCGGGTTCGATTCCCACCCAGGATAAATATTGTGTGATGAGCACGGTCATTTGTTCTGTGTCTGGGTGCCATTTATCTATAATATGTATGTATTTAAAAATATATAAGTATGTTTATCAGCGGTCTGATTACCATAGCACAGGCTCTGCCTAGTTTGGGATCAGACGGCCGTGTGTGAGATGTGTGATGTTATTATTATTATTATTATTAACTAACAATATAAAAGAGGTATTAAATTTTTTGTGCGGGTAGATTGAAATTAGGAAGGGCATTAAATATTCTTGGCCTAAGATTTCTGGTCTTGAGTAGACCAGAAATTCTTTATGTGACAGGTCTCTGAATATATGCCACAGAGATCTCCTCAATTATTTTTAATCCTTTCAAAGAAAAAATGATCGAAATTAAAAAAAGATCAAACGCAAAGGTTTTCCGTGGGCTGTAGTACCACTCCGGTCAAGCCTGCCCATTTGTGTCGAAGCATGGCTCTCCCACGGTATGTTTAGTTAATGCACCACTCTGGGAATTCTCAAGCTACTGGAAACTAGAGATACCGCTAGCGGTATCTCTTATCCTTTAACATTAACCATCAACTTATCTCTTTTCCTCTGAAAGCTTTTATATTCCCAAGAATGGTAGGAGTCAGGTAAGCCGTCAGCCATTAAAGAAATCAGCCGAAATCCTTTACAATGTTACAACTTGCAGGAAAATGATAATGCTGATGACTCATCTAATGCATTTCGATTCCAATTTCAAAAAATGTAGTACTTCAATATTCAGGGTTGCTATGCTATTAATCAGTTTGGACCACGGTCTCTTAATTTAATTTTGTATTTGATTTATATTATTGTTTAAAATAAGTATCTTTTAAGGATTATTTTTTTCTTGTTTTCTGTTTTATTCAAACGGATTGCCTTTTCTATTAGATTTAATGTCCAAGTCCTATCTACCTAGGTGTACTAATAAACCTCAACCCCTTATAATTTGCGAATAAACAAGATTCATACTCAGGCAATATACAGGTATGCGTGTTGTAAAAGCGTTCACATAATATGTCCGTTCCACGCATTGAAACCGCAACACAGATTGTGACATTAATGCTAGCAACACAGGCCTAATTGTTTCAAGAAATAACTAGCTTTAATATCGTATATGGAAATAGCAACATTTATTTTATGCTTTAACAATATGAGAAAGTAGGTTACCCATTTGAAATAATTAACTTGTATCACCGAGGTCAATATTCTTAAATTCACAAATTGTTGTTCTGAGTCTGGGTGTTATTTGTGTCCGTTTCATGTATGTTTGTAAAGTCCACCGCGACACAGGATATATTCCTAATGCGGGAGTTGCTTTTAAAAATACAATACAAATACAAATGATGATAAATTGTAATAAACTGTATTGTTCATTTCTTAATTTTCTATCCTTCGGAGTGGTATTTTTTTCTTTTCTAAATGAGACCGAACGGGAAGAATACTTGCCCTCCCAAAATAAAAAAAAGAACTTTCAAATTGGTTTATAATTTATGACAGTGTTTTGAAGTAACAAACCTTAAAAATAGAACGAATTAAAAACCTTTTGAAGCTGATTAAAAGTAAATTGTTAAATTGGTATTTTTTTTTTAAATTCTAATTCGGGTGTAAATCATACGGACATACTTTTTATAATGTTATTTTATGATGACATCTTACGCTAGGTTTTTATTATTTTTACAGTAATTAAAACTTAATAATACGTACCTCAACTGTTTATTAATTACTTAATAAAAAAAAACCTTAACCTCGACGGAGACTCAAAAGCCAAAAATGACAGCATTAAATATGACATGACAGAACACATATTGATTAACAGTGTCAATAGACTGTCGATATAGTAGTATAGGTCATCAATGGTGATTTCAACAACATTGCCATACCTGGAAAATTGAATATATTATTTTCTAACAAATTTTAAATGTACCGTTTACCAAACTATTACAAATACATCGACGACATTCCTATCAGTGACAAGTCATGACACAAATGTCGCCATTGGCCATTGGTCTTACATAGTTAGTAGAATAGGACAAGTGCAAAACTATTCCGACGACATTCCATCGACAGTCTACTGATACACTATTAAAATAGCATAATTGAGACCCTTAAATGTATTTGCAGGAATAAAATAAATATATTACGTATACCTATGTCATTAAAAAATGCAATGTAACTTTTGCACATTATTATTCACTTATAACAAAACAATTGTCCGCCGCCATGAGACATTACATTAACAAAACGATAGCAGCGCCTCTAACTGTAGTTAATGTAACTATTTGACGTTGTGAACACTAATGATTGACCATTATAATGAACTAGCCGTACGTTTAGCAGTCCATATAATCAAACGCTAATTGTATAATTATTCTGATTCTGAATTATTTGGCCTAACTGTTTCTTGATGAGACGGATCATTTGTAAATCGGTAAGACATATGACTGGTTGATCTAATTCGGGTTCGATTCCCACCCAAAGCCTCATAATTTTTTCTGTGTCCGGGTGTATATTAAGCTACAAATATAGTATTTAGAAATATATGTTATGTTATAGAGTACCATTGCAAATCCTAATAAAGTATGTCTTTTTTTCCATCTCCATGTCAAGACAAATCAGTAAAAGAAATGAAATATGGTGCGAGATCTCTCCCACCGTACCCTCCATCTGGGTCATTCTCACTTGCTACTTTTTGATCACTCCATCAATCATCATTATCAACAGCCTATAACAGACCACTGCTGGACATAGGCCTTTCTTTAGAAAGGAGGTTTTGGCCTACTATACCACGCTGGCCAGACGGGTTGGTATAGGGTTTGTTTCAAGTTTTCCTTCTCTTTGCAGTGCTGTTGTCCTGCGTAGTTTGCTCCTTTATTCATCCCGTGAATAGGGGTGGTGACATTCCGTATTCTTAATCCGTCACCACACAGACCTTGTAAACATATCCATGTACTCGTATTTACAAGTTATGCTTAATTGAAGTTCAAAGAGCTTGGTTCAACGTACGTAATTGTATCTTCTATAATATTAAATGACATCAACCGTTTCCGCAGTTCGTCTCGCAATTATGGCAACTGCTCCGCTCCTAATAGGCGTAGCGTGATGTCCAATACGGTACAACCTGCCTTAAGAATAGAGCTATCAACTGCAATAACAATTATACAAATCTGACCATCAGTTTCAGAGATTAACACAGACATATAACCTCTAACTTCATCAAATCCTCCTTCTACGTCCAGTCAGTTCTTCTCTGGAATGTCCTCTCTGCCGAAATCAGGATGTCCACAAACCGCCTTGCATTCAAGACAAAAGTGAGCGATCTTGTTCGAAATGAATTGGCAGAATAGTCACAACGCTGGTACCCGAATGAGCATTTATATATTTTATGTAGGTTTATGCATGTATGTTTACTTATGTATGTGTGTTTATATATTGTGTATGTCTCTGGACTTCAAATATGTTAAATTTAATATTTTATTTTGGCATTAAGTCCGCCTTTGTACAACATTAAGTTTTAAATAAATAAAAAAAAAAAAACGGAATCCGCCAAGCCTTTGCACGGGTGGAATGTAGAAACTACTGATGTGGTGTCAGTGTGGAGTAACATGAATTATACTATTAATATGATAAGACCATACAACAGGTTATCTTTATAATATGATTGCTCCGCTCCTGCCTTCCTTTAGCCTGCTTCAAATTACAAATCCTTGAAATGCCCGGATTTCCGTAGTTTAAAAGCTCTAAGCGTATAAGAAAAAAAAGTGATTTCATTTTATACTATATAAAGATTTGAAATGAAATTTTAAATTTCTCTCTTTAAATTTTTTAAATGTTTAAAATTATATGGGTCTACAGACCCATTTAACCCTGAATAAAAAGATCATTATTAATATTATAAGATGGCCTTTTTTACACAAATATTCACGGGAGCAGTCCGTATTCGAAATACTTCATGTCTATATGTAAAACAAGTGCACAAAGCTAAAATGTTAAAATATAACGTGTTATTAACTTAATAAATTATAATAAAAAACACTAAGAAACACACTTTTGTAACGTGCCGAACCAAAAAGGAGAAAATAATTTTCCATAAGTTCAAAATGAAAAATTATTCGTTAACAGTGAAGATCCTGATCAAGATAGATCAGGATCTTCAGGATTAACGGCTTTTTCCATACCTAAAAATACGATCGGCCAAATTGATCAAATTAATGTATTGTCATTGGTCCTTGATAAGTGAGCAAAGTTTCAATTTAATTCGACGTTTTGAAGTCGGTCAAAATCACGTTCTTTGAAGATTTTGCTTCATACACACATATCAAGCTAATAAAAAACGTGATAAAAATTCTGTAAAACCGGCTGCAAAATGCTAGAGATCCATTATATATTTTAACAAGTCATGGTACAAAAGTCTATAAAATTATAATTATATTAGTTATTAAATTATATATAGATAGTATGATAAAGTTAAACAAATATTGCAAACAACTCACCCCCGATACTGTTATTTCTCATGCAATTATCTTCTCCGAGTATAGCACTGACACTAAACTTCAACATCGGTTTCTTTGGCTCATTATAATCCTCACAGCTTCTGACCAATTCATCAGTGAACGCCTTCCCTTCCTGCTTATCAGCTTCATCACCAGAATTCTCCTGATAATTGAGATTGAACCGTTTTTCCAGCTCTTCCAGACGTCTGATACCAGACTTCTTACAAGAAAACGGAGGACAATCAAACGAGCCACAAGTTTGACATCGCCTAACCAAATTGGGTACATTAAGAACTTCTTTCTCAGACCTATTTTCTTCGTTTCTTTGAAAATAATCATTGTTATAATATACTTCATTTTTAATGGCGTATTCTTCATCACGAGATTTGGAGTCATCATCTTCGAGTTTAGTATCATCTGCTAATTCATCAGCACGATTTTCTTCGTCGGCCTCTGGCAATTTAGTTTCGTCTATCTCTGGTGTATTGTCTCTGGATCTCTCGTAATTTTGACGAACGTAATTTTCTAGTTGTTGGTTAATATATTGATTGTGTAATTCAGTTTTTTGATGATGCAAAATGTTGTCGACTAAAAAAGGAGACGTCATGTTAAATGGTCCGCTCGTAGTTTTGTTGTAACAAAAATTTTGAATAGTTTTTAACATCATGTTGTGATCTAAATTTTTACCAAAATTCAATTTTAACTGTCCATTTTTTAGATCTGTTGGGTACATAATATGTTCTTTTAATTAAATAAATATAGTCACGGAACACAAAAATGTTTTTAGAACAGCTAACGTTGACATAACTTTAAATAATAAAATTGTACGAATTTTGTGGGCACGCGCGCTTATCGAACGTGTGTTCTCCGCGGCGGTGAAGAAACTACTGACTAAATGGGAGGATCTTATTAATGGGCGTGTACTGGGGTGGCTTTTTACCCTCGCTTTTGTACGCTCCACCAGTATACAACGACCTACCCTCCCCTCCGCTTTACAAACATTTTATGGGCACTCAAACGTATTGTTTGGCGAATCGAAAGCTCTTGTGAAATCGGATAAGTCAGCGACTTACAAATTTAGAAATAGACTTAAATATATACAAAAATATACCTTATTCTTTACAAAATATGGTTGTTTTATATCAAAATGTATTACGTAAAATATATTTGTGTAGGAAACGGCTATGTGTGTTTATTCATAAGTTAAAAGGGTACAAAGTTGTTTTTTTTATTGAGTTAGTTCTGCCCCCCGGCTCCGCCCGCATTTATTGTTAGAACAAGAGAATGATATCATATTATATTGTCGCAATAGTAAAATGTTTTATTCAACATCAAATTTGGGGAGTATTAAGAACTTTTTAAATCAAGGGATTATCTTATTGGCTTTTATTTATAGACAGGCATGTTGGTCCAGTGGTTAGTTGTCCTAGCCGTAGATCGTGGGTTTGATTCCCAATCAGAACAAATATTTATTTGAGTTTTAAGCGTTTAATTAAGGAAAATGTTTGAGATTTTTTATATTACTTTAGTAAAATAGGTCATAAAGTATTAATTTCGAATGCCTAATTTTTTTTTTGCCCTGGAGGAGCCATGTAATAAGCATAAGCAATTCTTTCGTTGCCTTTCACTGAGTGAGTGCGGTTACCGGAGCCCAAATCCCCCTTCCGCTGACTCGAGCGGGAGGGACCCCAAGGGTGGCAACGCACTTGTGACTTTTGAGTTGCAGGTGTTCATGGGCGGCTGTAGTTGCTTACCATCAGGTGATCCGTCTGCTAGTTTACCCCCTTGTAACATAAAAAAAATAGGGAATTTAAGTATTTTATTAAGTTTATAAAGTATTGAATTAATTACAATGTGAACGTTATGATTGATGTTAATTACTTATAAATAAATAGGATCATTTCTGGATTTAATTTTCAATTGAGTTTTATTTTCACCACGAAGCGGCGGTGATGTATCCTTTTTTCACTCTAAGGGTTCGCTGGAAGAAAACTCAGTTTTGGGTTAAGCTCGCCTTTGTACATATAGTTTCCTTAATCACTTAAGTATGTAATATTAATGTGTACAATAAAGAATAAATGAATGAATGAATGTATTGGCTTAGAAGTTCGATTTTTTCCTAAAAACATATTTAAATACTTACTAACACCAATCGAACAGGTAAACAGACATGTAATTTGTACCACTTAATAATATTATCCGTGCGATGACGGATGAAGAATACGGAGTGTCACCACTCCTATTCATCTCGTGGGTGTCGTAAAAGCCGATTATGGGAGCAAACTACGCAGGAGAACAGCACTGCTAAGAGAGAAAAACTTGACACAAATCCTATACCAGCCCGTCTGGCCAGCGTGGTATAGTAGGCCAAAACCTCCTTTCTAAGGAGAGGCTTATGTCCAACAGGTTAAAGTAATAAGTTGAAGTAATAAGGGAAAATACTTGAAAAGTTAAAGATGGGAAAATGTGATATTATTATTGTATATTGATAGTATTATATTTAAACATGCTTGAAGCGGTCGCCACGCCGCTCACTACTACGCTAAGTGTTGTGGGTCCGATCTCTACATGGGACGACACTTTGTGTGATCCACAAATTGTTGTTTTGAGTCTGGGTGTTCTTTGTGTCCGTTTCATGTATGTTTGTAAAGTCCCGCACGACTCAAGATATATTCCTAATGCGGGTGTTCTCTATTTAAAAAAAAATGTAAACGAAAAGTTTTCTTTATTAAGTTGTACAATGGTTACACAGACTGCAACGAGCTTATGAGTAGCCTATCTATAAATGTACCATCACGTCTACCAAGGATAGGAGCCTACAGTCTATTTTCTGTCCGCCCAGCAAAATCAAACCTGGGTCACTACGCCGCTGTGCCTAGGCTCTGCAGGCAATATAATGTGTTGTCTACAACTAAAAACCTAGATCTCAGTTTTTCTTTTTTAAAATATAAAGGTTCCTTAAAAAATATTTTGCAGTGATATGTTCAATACTCAATACTCAATACTTTATTGCTACCATAATGTAAATTTTACAGTTGGTAAAAACTTAAGCTAGGTATCAATTATGGACCCTGTCGGGCACAGCATAGAAGAGAGAGAGAGAGGGGGGAATGATTATTACTAAATTTATTTATAATATATTATTTATATATATTTAATCTGTATAGTCATTATTTTATTTTTATTTAAATATTTATTTATTTTTAATAATTATTTATTGCACTAAGTTTGTATTATTTGTTATAAAGGTTATTAGTATTATTGTGATTTATTTTGTTAATTGTTGCAATTGGTTTTGGTCAGGCTTGACTAAAACCAATTGCAACAATTAAATGCTTAAATTAAATTAAACTAATGTTTTATGATGTTGTTAAATGCATTGTCACGAATTGTTTATTTTATCCATATATTCTTTTACACTGTAATAGCTTTTTCGCAAGAGGAATAGTTTTAACTTATTAATGAAAATGTTATTTTTTTCTTCGTTCTTAATCTTTTCTGGTAGTTTATTATAATTTTTATAGACATAACTAAGGGGCTTTTAGAATGCATAGTTAGTTGGGAAGTTGGGAGGTTAAGTCTATTTTTATGTCTTAGTGTGAATTTGATTTTTTTGTCTTCTCTTTTACTATAGTATTCCGGGTGTTTTCGAACAAATTAACTCATTTCCAGAATATAAATACATGGAAGAGTTAGGATTTTGAGGTTCTGGAAATGGGGTTTGCAGGACTCTGTTTCTTTTATATTAGTCAGAATTCTGATTAATTTTTTTTGCAGGGTAAAGGTAGTATGTGCCTCTGAACTATTTCCCCAAAGGATTATGCCATAGCTGAAGCAAGAATAAGCGTATGTGTAGTATGTGACAAGAGCAGTAGAAAGGTGTTAGTAATATTAATATTGTCTGCCTACATGCCTACATGTTAATTAGCTATCTATAGTTACATCAAAATTGTGTTCATGATTTAGATTTATGTGCGATCTGTATGTAATTTATAGGTTTATTATAACTTGTCACTAATGTTTGCATGCTGTGGTCTCCTATAATTGAGGGAGTACACCGAAAGATTACTGTGAAGTATTTATAGTAAGTCATAACAACTGTGTATATCATTTGTTGGAGATCCTTAAATTATATAAATAAATAAGAAGGAGAAAAAATGGTAAGGAAGGAATATTGCTTACGGATGGATTAGGGAGTGTTTAATTGTTTCAAATTAATTCAAATTATCTGTTGGAGGAGAAGGAAGTGGGGGTGGTTGGCAGAGCCCCGAGGAAGCTGTAGCACACATTATAGACTTATGATAACTAGAAAACTATTTTCAAACATATACTTGTATAAGTATCCATACTTATAAACTAGCTGGTACCCTCGACTTCGTTCGCGTCAAATTTCAAATGTCCTTCCTTAGTGGTACGCGACAGCAGTCCATGAGGCCTCGGGTTCGGTATCCCGGACCGAGCTTTTATTTATATTTATTTATATTATTATTTTTCTGAGAGAAAAAAAAAGTCTAAGTTACTCCTTATATTGACAGCTATCTGGTAGTAAAATATTATCAAAATCTAGCCAGCCTATTTAACACTTCAATTTTATTTATTTGTATAGATGTGAAAGTGATTTTGTTTGTTTGTTACGCTTTCACGCCTAAACCATTAAACAGATTTAAAAAATCCTTCACTAATGGTAAGCGACATTATCTATCAGTGAGTAACATAGGGTACATTTTTCAAGATAATCGCCACACATGCGGGTGGAGTCGCTGGCAAAAACTAGTAATAACTAAAAAAAAAAATGTTTTTTTAACCAAAAAAAAAACTCCGAAAAAAATACAAGTGACGAAAGGATACCATTTCTTGTTATTTTAAGTCTGTTAAACAGACGTTACAAAAGATAGTTGTCTTCACAGAATAAAAATATATCAACATTTTTAAAAATATAACATAAAAAATAGAAGAGCTTTCTACAAATCATTAAATTATGTCCTTCCACCTCAACGTCTGAACACAGACTGAGCTTAAAAGAAAAACGGTTATCTTAAAAAAAAATCGTTCCAATTTCAAAATTAGCGCCGCCCACCATTGTTATTGGCTGTTCGGAAGTCTATATTCCTTGACGCTCGACCCCTTTGATTTTCAACTGTATTGTATTGACTTAAAGTTGTTTTTTTAAAAGTAGTTGTGATGAAGTAAAAAAATTCGAATGAATTTTATTTCTTTTGGGGTAAATATTAGAATTAATGATGTATCTGCTTTAGTATCGTCATGGCGCCTGAAAAGTATTTGCAAATGTCTTATAATTCATATAAATTTAGAATTCGTCGTTAATAAATTGTATTAAGTTATATGGAAGGCCATTGTTGCTCCAGTGGTAGTGATCTTGACTGCTAAGCAGGAGTTCGTAGGTTCGATTCCCACCTATTTTTTTTATAGAACTGTGTCTGAATGTCTTTTATCTAAAATATGCATGCATTAATAAACTGCTTCGGTGGTGCAGTGGTAGCGTATGCGACTGCGGTTCTGAGGTCTCGGGTTCGATTCCTTGGTCGGACTAAATGTTGGTATGATCTGCAATATTTGTTTCGGAGTTTGGGTGTTTTCTATCTATCA